AGTTAAAGGATAACACAAAAACAACAAAGTCTAGGATACAGAAACTTTATGGACCAACAACAAGGGGAGAGAGGCATAGGGACACACAACAGAGGAGCACAGGGACACACAACAGAGGAGCACAGGGACACACAACAGAGCATGTGTGTGTGTGTATATAAGTATATGTGTGTGTGTTTTGTCTGTGTGTGTGTGTCTCTGTTTGTGTGTGTGTGTCTGTGTGTGTGTGTGTGTGTGTCTGTATATGAGTGTGTGTGTCTGCCCCCCGCTGGTTAAACCTCTAAATCTGGTGTGGGATTATTGTGTGTTTTTGGTCCGGAGCCGCTTTAGCCTCGAGCCAACGCCACTTTCACTTGACCCTGGAATGAGAAGATTAAGTCACACTTCTGCTCTGTACAGACGCACACATGGTTCTGGTCCTGGTCCTGGTCTTGGTCCTGGTCTTGGTCTTAGTCTTGTTCTTGGTCTTGGTCTTGGTCCTTTCTTAACACCTGCCTATTTTTCTATCACTGCTGGTTCTATCACTGCTGGTTCTATCACTGCTGGTTCTATCACTGCTGTTCTATCACTGCTGGTTCTATCACTGCTGGTTCTATCACTGCTGGTTCTATCACTGCTGGTTCTATCACTGCTGGTTCTATCACTGCTGGTTCTATCCCTGCTGGTTCTATCACTGCTGGTTCTATCCCTGCTGGTTCTAACACTGCTGGTTTGGGACACAGACCATAAGAGAGTCTTCTCTGTGGTTTGAGGTGGAGGAGACTGGCTCAGCAGGTGTTGTTGTGTAGTAGTTGTGTAGTTGTGCGTCAGTCTCAGAGGTACACAGGACATGTTGTGTAGTTGTGCGTCAGTCTCAGAGGTACACAGGACATGTTGTGTAGTTGTGCGTCAGTCTCAGAGGTACACATGTCGTGTCTTGCCCATGACTCCTTCAGTCATCGTCATGGAAACGCTCCAATGGGACTCAGGCTCCAGCGACGCTCAGAGCTTTCACTCTATCTTTGTTGTACTGCAGTTTTACGCTGGTCCAGGTCTGGTCTGGTCTGCCCTGGTCCGGTCCAGGTCTGGTCCGGTCTGGTCTTCAAAACAAGTATCCGAATCTTAAAATGAATGCTTTCTCTCTCTCAGTCTCTCTTTCTCCATGTCTCTCTGTCTATTTACACCATGAATTAGTTATTGCTACGAGTGAAGAAGATTCAAAAACAGTCGTGTGTTCGTTGTACAGTCTGAGCACGAGCAGCTGCTGTAAATACATGTGTCCTGTGAAGTGGGCTGTTAGCGGCGCCGCGGACATGCTAACGCAGTCAGAGTGATTAATGTGCGGGGGAGACCAGCCGCTTTGAGCCCAGTGGACCAATTAGACCGGGCGCTAATCCTGCCACTACACCTACAGCGGGTTCACAGTTCACACCGAAGACCCGTGAGTTTGAGATAAACACACCTTATCATTTAACACACGCTACAAGTTTATGTAGCGTGTGTTATGAATGCAGAACAACATGGGCCTGTGCTAGAAAATAGTTCATATTGAGTCAGAATCTGCCTCTTTGGGCTGAGAGCAGATTGAAAACAGCTCCTTGGTTTTGCTCAAGGACAAACATGTGCGTAATATTTATTTATATAGCGCCTTTCACAGACCAGAATCAGGGCGTTTGTCTCTCACTCCACACAGAGATGGGAGCGAGGTTGTTGTCAGACTGTACAACGAACACTACTGAGCTGAGCTAATGCTAACATGTACAGATGTAAACATACTATGTATATATGCTTTAGAAAATACAGTGTTTATACTTCTTTGTTTTGCTAAAGTCAGAGATTTTTATTCTACTGTTGTGTAACTGCTGATTGCAACACTGACATTTCTCACTGTGGGACCAGTAAAGGATCTTTATACTGAAGTGACAGTCTCAGATAAATATGTGATAAAACAAAACCTCAGATTCTCAGACAGTTACTCCACTTTTTAGATCAGAGGTGGTGTCCTCTGCTTCTGGTGTGTGTCCTCTGGTGTGTGTCCTCTGGTGCTGGTGTCCTCTGCTGCTGGTGTCCTCTGCTGCTGGTGTCCTCTGCTGCTGGTGTGTGTCCTCTGCTGCTGGTGTCCTCTGGTGTGGGACAGTCTCTGCTGCACAGATGGGGTCTGTCACATTGGGCTGATTAGTGCTGGATATGAAGACACATGTCCTGCACTAATGAAACACTCATACTGTCCTCCCCCTCCCCCACCTCCTCCCCCCTCCCCCACCTCCCCCTCTGCTCCTCTGCCCCTGTCCCAATAGGAAGTGGCACCTGCTGAACACTAATGAATAATAATAAATCATTGGTTTTATTCAGAGCTATTTTGATAAACGACTTCTGTAGCCACAGCTGCCCTGGGGCCGACGGCAGCCAGTCTGTGCCATCGGCCCCTCCCACCTCCACCAACCATTCAATACGATACAATACACTTTTTTCTTGTATAGCCCTGAATCACAACAGCCTCATCTCAGAGACTGAACAAAAGTATTGAAATCACAGATCAGAGAATCAACACCTTCTGCACCGACTCCCACTGCTGTCTGCTGCCGTTGTGTCCTTGGGCAACACACTTTGCCTTTAAGGAGTGCAGAAGTACCAGCACGCAGCGTCAATAAAGTGTATGTTCTTATTTCCTCATTCCAAAGGAGACATGTATTGTATTTTTTAAATTCAAGATCATTTTGTTTGTCTCATTGGAGAATCTGGTTTTAAATCTCAGTCAGAAAGTGCTAAAGTTAGGACACATTTTGGCAAATCTTATACATTTATGGCTTGTTTTGATCACTTTTTGCAGTGTAGTTTTGTAGTGTAGTTTTGCAGTGTAGTTTTGTAGTGTAGTTTTGAAGTGTAGTTTTGCGGTGTAGTTTTGCAGTGTAGTTTTATTGTGTAGTTTTGCAGTGTAGTTTTGCAGTGTAATTTTGCAGTGTAGTTTTACAGTGTAGTTTTGAAGTGTAGTTTTGCGGTGTAGTTTTGTAGTGTAGTTTTGTAGTGTAGTTTTGCAGTGTAATTTTGTAGTGTAGTCTTGTAGTGTAGTTTTGCGGTGTAGTTTTACAGTGTAGTTTTACAGTGTAGTTTTGCAGTGTAGTTTTACAGTGTAGTTTTGCAGTGTAGTTTTACAGTGTAGTTTTTCTGTGTAGTTTTACAGTGTAGTTTTGCTGTGTAGTTTTACAGTGTAGTTTTGCAGTGTAGTTTTACAGTGTAGTTTTGCTGTGTAGTTTTACAGTGTAGTTTTACAGTGTAGTTTTACAGTGTAGTTTTACAGTGTAGTTTTGCTGTGTAGTTTTACAGTGTAGTTTTGCAGTGTAGTTTTACAGTGTAGTTTTGCTGTGTAGTTTTACAGTGTAGTTTTACAGTGTAGTTTTGCAGTGTAGTTTTACAGTGTAGTTTTGCTGTTTAGTTTTACAGTGTAGTTTTACAGTGTAGTTTTACAGTGTAGTTTTGCAGTGTAGTTTTGCAGTGTAGTTTTACAGTGTAGTTTTACAGTGTAGTTTTACAGTGTAGTTTTGCAGTGTAATTTTGCAGTGTAGTTTTGCAGTGTAGTTTTGCAGTGTAGTTTTACAGTGTAGTTTTACAGTGTAGTTTTGCAGTGTAGTTTTATTGTGTAGTTTTGCAGTGTAATTTTGCAGTGTAGTTTTACAGTGTAGTTTTGAAGTGTAGTTTTGCGGTGTAGTTTTGTAGTGTAGTTTTGCAGTGTAATTTTGTAGTGTAATTTTGTAGTGTAGTCTTGTAGTGTAGTTTTGCGGTGTAGTTTTACAGTGTAGTTTTACAGTGTAGTTTTGCAGTGTAGTTTTACAGTGTAGTTTTGCAGTGTAGTTTTACAGTGTAGTTTTGCGGTGTAGTTTTACAGTGTAGTTTTGCAGTGTAGTTTTACAGTGTAGTTTTGCAGTGTAGTTTTGCAGTGTAGTTTTGCAGTGTAATTTTCCAGTGTAGTTTTGCAGTGTAATTTTGCAGTGTAGTTTTGCAGTGTAGTTTTGCAGTGTAGTTTTACAGTGTAGTTTTGCAGTGTAGTTTTGCAGTGTAGTTTTGCAGTGTAATTTTCCAGTGTAGTTTTGCAGTGTAGTTTTACAGTGTAGTTTTACAGTGTAGTTTTGCAGTGTAATTTTCCAGTGTAGTTTTGCAGTGTAGTTTTGCAGTGTAGTTTTGCAGTGTAATTTTCCAGTGTAGTTTTGCAGTGTAATTTTGCAGTGTAGTTTTGCAGTGTAGTTTTGCAGTGTAGTTTTGCAGTGTAGTTTTGCAGTGTAGTTTTGCAGTGTAGTTTTACAGTGTAGTTTTGCAGTGTAATTTTCCAGTGTAGTTTTGCAGTGTAGTTTTGCAGTGTAGTTTTGCAGTGTAATTTTCCAGTGTAGTTTTGCAGTGTAGTTTTGCAGTGTAGTTTTGCAGTGTAATTTTCCAGTGTAGTTTTGCAGTGTAGTTTTGCAGTGTAGTTTTACAGTGTAACCATGAAAGAGTCAGAGGTCGTTGAAGTCACTGTGACTGAGAGATGCTGCAGTCTGTGTTTTTGTGAATCCTTAGTCTCAGCCTCAGCCTTGAAACTAAGGCTGAGGCCCCTCTCTACCCCAGACTCATCCAGGTTTGTTGTACAGTCTGACAGCCGAAGGAACAAAGGATCTCTTGAAACCTTCCGTTCGGCAGCGTAGTGAAAGGAGCCTGTTGCTTCGATTACTCCTCTGAGCGACCAAAGTGTCATGCAGAGACAGTCTGAAGGCCCGACGCCGTGAGTTAGAATCTCAGACTCAGTCCTGTTCCATCGATGCTAACGCTAACCCTGCTATGATCACTCTATGCTAACGCTAACCCTGCTATGATCACTCTATGCTAACGCTAACCCTGCTATGATCACCCTGCTATGATCACTCTATGCTAACGGCGAGCGCTATCAGTCGGCGCTACCAGCTCCCGACAGAGAAATCCATATTGTACTTGCATTTGTATTGAGCCAATAAAACATGAAGGCTCCGCTGGCTCCCGTCCCAGCGTGTGTGGAGATGACAGAGCCGTTAGCAGCAGTGGGTGTGGGGGCCCCCGGGAGCAGTGGGGGCCCCCGGAGGAGAGGAGGGGGGGTAGTGTCTTATTGCAAAACATCAAACACAGAAATCAGATTACAGCCGCGCTAAGGGCTTTAATATCACAGTCAGATATTGGTGCTTTCTGCTCAGAGCCAGGGGGGGTTTCTCTCTTTTTCATTTGCTCCAATTTAAAGTATTGTTTTATAAGAACTGGGATATATTACAGACTATACATAGAAGCAGAAGCCAGACCGGGACTTAGACCAGGACTCAGACCAGGACTCAGACCAGGACTCAGACCAGGACTCAGACCAGGACTCAGACCAGGACTCAGACCAGGACTCAGACCAGGACTCAGACCAGGACTCAGACCAAGACTCAGACCAGGACTCAGACCAGGACTCAGACCAGGACTCAGACCAGGACTCAGGCCAGGACTCAGACCAGGACTCAGACCAGGACTCAGACCAGGACTTAGACCAGGACTCAGACCAGGACTCAGGCCAGGACTCAGACCAGGACTCAGACCAGGACTTAGACCAGGACTCAGACCAGGACTCAGGCCAGGACTCAGACCAGGACTCAGGCGCTGGTGACATGTGTATTTTCAGAGGCAGCACTTGTGTTGTATTGAACAATATAAATACATTTATATATTTTATTTCTTTGCTGTTACTTTTATGAGATGATCTTGTTTTTTTTTTGCAATGAAGACTTTATCCTGGAAGAGAGAGGTCATAGATCTGGTCCTCAGTCGCCTGGACCTGGACCTGGACCTGGATTCTGCTCCTCCCTGAGAGCGTTAGAGACTGATGGTTCCTCGGTAATGTGAGGCCAGTCCCTGTGCTCCTCAGAGTCCCAGCAGGAGGCCAGTCCCTGTGCTCCTCAGAGTCCCAGCAGGAGGCCAGTCCCTGTGCTCCTCAGAGTCCCAGCAGGAGGCCAGTCCCTGTGCTCCTCAGAGTCCCAGCAGGAGTCCAGTCCCTGTGCTCCTCAGAGTCCCAGCAGGAGGCCAGTCCCTGTGCTCCTCAGAGTCCCAGCAGGAGGCCAGTCCCTGTGCTCCTCAGAGTCCCAGCAGGAGGCCAGTCCCTGTGCTCCTCAGAGTCCCAGCAGGAGGCCAGTCCCTGTGCTCCTCAGAGTCCCAGCAGGAGGCCAGTCCCTGTGCTCCTCAGAGTCCCAGCAGGAGGCCAGTCCTGGCACTTGTTTTTGAAAATCATTAATTATTTGTACTATTTGTATTGTTTATTTATCAGCTCTGAAGAAAAGGTCCATTCATGAAAAAGAGCATGCAGCACTTTTGTCTCTCTGGGATGAGAGTTCCACAGCAGCAGACCATACAGATGCAGATGCAGATGCAGATACAGATGCTGCAGATACAGATGCAGATACAGATGCAGATACAGATGCTGCAGATACAGATGCAGATACAGATGCAGCAGATACAGATGCAGATACAGATGCAGCAGATACAGATGCAGATACAGATACAGATGCAGATACAGATGCAGATACAGATACAGATGCAGATACAGATACAGATGCAGATACAGATGCAGATACAGATGCAGCAGATACAGATGCAGATACAGATGCAGATACAGATGCAGCAGATACAGATGCAGATACAGATACAGATGCAGATACAGATGCAGATACAGATACAGATGCAGATACAGATGCTGCAGATACAGATGCAGATACAGATGCAGCAGATACAGATGCAGATACAGATGCAGCAGATACAGATGCAGATACAGATACAGATGCAGATACAGATGCAGATACAGATACAGATGCAGATACAGATACAGATGCAGATACAGATGCAGATACAGATGCAGCAGATACAGATGCAGATACAGATGCAGCAGATACAGATGCAGATACAGATACAGATGCAGATACAGATGCAGATACAGATACAGATGCAGATACAGATACAGATGCAGATACAGATGCAGATACAGATGCAGCAGATACAGATGCAGATACAGATGCAGATGCAGATGCAGCAGATGCAGATACAGATTTAATTACAGACTTTAAAACAGTTTCATTCACAAGGCCATCAGGAAGCTGAACTCTCTGCCCTCCCTCCCTTCCCCCACCCCCCGCTCCACAATCAAGGATGAGAGAAATATCATTTCAAACCATTCACTTGGTTTGACAAAAAGAAAATCTTGAAAAATCTTGAAGATGCAGATGCAGCAGATGCAGATGCAGCAGATGCAGATGCAGCAGATGCAGATGCAGCAGATGCAGATGCAGATACAGATGCAGATGCAGCAGATACAGATGCAGATGCAGCAGATACAGATGCAGATACAGATGCAGATGCAGCAGATACAGATGCAGATGCAGATGCAGATACAGAAGCAGATACAGATACAGATGCAGCAGATGCAGATACAGATGCAGCAGATACAGATGCAGGTACAGATGCAGAAGATACAGATGCAGATGCAGATGCAGCAGATGCAGATACAGATGCAGCAGATACAGATGCAGTAGATACAGATACAGATGCAGCAGATGCAGATGCAGCAGATGCAGATACAGATGCAGATGCAGCAGATGCAGATGTGTCTGGATCCCCCCCCCATGTTTGTGTGGCCCCCCAGGGCGTGTGGAGGAGGAGGCTGCTCTCTAATATCTGAGCTGCTCACAATGAACCATGAACTGGAAATGATCTGTAGAAATGCACCGATTGGTTTCAGCTTAAACCTTGTCTGAAAACTGGATTTACCGTCGTTTAAACTTTTATATCAGCACGAGTCTCTGAACACGACATGTGGTGGTCCCCTGGTTCTACACCCTGGTGGTGGTCCTCTGGTGGTGGTCCTGTGGTGGTGGTCCTCTGGTGGTGGTCCTGTGGTGGTGGTCCTGTGGTGGTGGTCCTCTGGTGGTGGTCCTGTGGTGGTGGTCCTGTGGTGGTGGTCTTCTGGTGGTGGTCCTGTGGTGGTGGTCCTGTGGTGGTGGTCCTGTGGTGGTGGTCCTGTGGTGGTGGTCCTGTGGTGGTGGTCCTGTGGTGGTGGTCCTCTGGTGGTGGTCCTGTGGTGGTGGTCCTGTGGTGGTGGTCCTGTGGTGGTGGGTTGAAGCTGGTCTGGTTGATGAGGCCTGAAGGGGAGGAGGAGGGTTGCTGCATGAATAAAAGGACTGAGGACAGTGTCTTGTCCAAATGTACTTTATATATACATATATATACTGTGTGTGTGTGTGTGTGTGTGTGTGTGTGTGTGTGTGTGTGTGTGTCTGTGTGTGTGTGTGTGTGTGTGTGTGTGTCTGTGTGTGTCTGTGTGTGTGTGTGTCTGTGTGTGTGTAAGTGGCTGGTTCTAAAGACCATATTTCTTTTCTTTCACTCCATTTCCCTAATCCTAATCCTGGCAGAGTGCGGGGGCGGGGTCAGCAGGTGGTGGGCGGGGCCTTTATCTGCTCTGGTGAATATGTCTGTGTGTATGTTGCATTGATTAAGGCCAGGACTTTACCCTGAGAGAGACCAGAGAGAGACCAGAGAGAGACCAGAGAGAGACCAGAGAGAGGCCAGAGAGAGACCAGAGAGAGACCAGAGAGAGACCAGAGAGAGACCAGAGAGAGGCCAGAGAGAGACCAGAGAGAGACCAGAGAGAGACCAGAGAGAGACCAGAGAGAGACCAGAGAGAGAGACCAGAGAGAGACCAGAGAGAGACCAGAGAGAGACCAGAGAGAGACCAGAGAGAGAGACCAGAGAGAGACCAGAGAGAGACCAGAGAGAGACCAGAGAGAGACCAGAGAGAGACCAGAGAGAGACCAGAGAGAGACCAGAGAGAGACCAGAGAGAGACCAGAGAGAGACCAGAGAGAGACCAGAGAGAGACCAGAGAGAGACCAGAGAGAGACCAGAGAGAGACCAGAGACCAGAGAGAGGCCAGAGAGAGACCAGAGAGAGACCAGAGAGAGACCAGAGAGAGAGACCAGAGAGAGACCAGAGAGAGACCAGAGAGAGACCAGAGAGAGACCAGAGAGAGACCAGAGAGAGACCAGAGAGAGACCAGAGAGAGACCAGAGAGAGACCAGAGAGAGAGAGACCAAGAGAGAGAGCCAGAGAGAGACCAGAGAGAGACCAGAGAGAGACCAGAGAGAGACCAGAGAGAGACCAGAGAGAGACCAGAGAGAGACCAGAGAGAGACCAGAGAGAGACCAGAGAGAGACCAGAGAGAGACCAGAGAGAGACCAGAGAGAGACCAAGAGAGAGACCAGAGACCAGAGAGAGACCAGAGAGAGACCAGAGAGAGACCAGAGAGAGACCAGAGAGAGACCAGAGAGAGACCAGAGAGAGACCAGAGAGAGACCAGAGAGAGACCAGAGAGAGACCAGAGAGAGACCAGAGAGAGACAGAGAGAGAGACCAGAGAGAGACCAGAGAGAGACCAGAGAGAGACCAGAGAGAGACCAGAGAGAGACCAGAGAGAGACCAGAGAGAGACCAGAGAGAGACCAGAGAGAGACCAGAGAGAGACCAGAGAGAGACCAGAGAGAGACCAGAGAGAGAGACCAGAGAGAGAGACCAGAGAGAGACCAGAGAGAGACCAGAGAGAGACCAGAGAGAGACCAGAGAGAGACCAGAGAGAGACCAGAGAGAGACCAGAGAGAGAGACCAGAGACCAGAGAGAGGCCAGAGAGAGACCAGAGAGAGACCAGAGAGAGACCAGAGAGAGACCAGAAAGAGACCAGAGAGAGAGACCAGAGAGAGACCAGAGAGAGACCAGAGAGAGACCAGAGAGAGACCAGAGAGAGACCAGAGACCAGAGAGAGGCCAGAGAGAGACCAGAGAGAGACCAGAGAGAGACCAGAGAGAGACCAGAGAGAGAGACCAGAGAGAGACCAGAGAGAGACCAGAGAGAGAGACCAGAGAGAGACCAGAGAGAGACCAGAGAGAGACCAGAGAGAGACCAGAGAGAGACCAGAGACCAGAGAGAGGCCAGAGAGAGACCAGAGAGAGACCAGAGAGAGACCAGAGAGAGAGACCAGAGAGAGACCAGAGAGAGACCAGAGAGAGACCAGAGAGAGAGACCAGAGAGAGACCAGAGAGAGACCAGAGAGAGACCAGAGAGAGACCAGAGAGAGACCAGAGAGAGAGACCAGAGAGAGACCAGAGAGAGACCAGAGAGAGACCAGAGAGAGACAGAGAGAGACCAGAGAGACCAAGAGAGACCAGAGAGAGAGACCAGAGAGAGACCAGAGAGAGACCAGAGACCAGAGAGAGGCCAGAGAGAGACCAGAGAGAGACCAGAGAGAGACCAGAGAGAGACCAGAGAGAGAGACCAGAGAGAGAGACCAGAGAGAGACCAGAGAGAGACCAGAGAGAGACCAGAGAGAGACCAGAGAGAGACCAGAGAGAGACCAGAGAGAGACCAGAGAGAGAGACCAGAGACCAGAGAGAGGCCAGAGAGAGACCAGAGAGAGACCAGAGAGAGACCAGAGAGAGACCAGAAAGAGACCAGAGAGAGAGACCAGAGAGAGACCAGAGAGAGACCAGAGAGAGACCAGAGAGAGACCAGAGAGAGACCAGAGAGAGACCAGAGACCAGAGAGAGGCCAGAGAGAGACCAGAGAGAGACCAGAGAGAGACCAGAGAGAGACCAGAGAGAGAGACCAGAGAGAGACCAGAGAGAGAGACCAGAGAGAGACCAGAGAGAGACCAGAGAGAGACCAGAGAGAGACCAGAGACCAGAGAGCCAGAGAGGCCAGAGAGAGACCAGAGAGAGACCAGAGAGAGACCAGAGAGAGAGACCAGAGAGAGACCAGAGAGAGACCAGAGAGAGACCAGAGAGAGAGACCAGAGAGAGACCAGAGAGAGAGAGAGACCAGAGAGAGACCAGAGAGAGACCAGAGAGAGAGACCAGAGAGAGACCAGAGAGAGACCAGAGAGAGAGACCAGAGAGAGACCAGAGAGAGACCAGAGACCAGAGAGAGGCCAGAGAGAGACCAGAGAGAGACCAGAGAGAGACCAGAGAGAGACCAGAGAGAGAGACCAGAGAGAGAGACCAGAGAGAGACCAGAGAGAGACCAGAGAGAGACCAGAGAGAGACCAGAGAGAGACCAGAGAGAGACCAGAGAGAGACCAGAGAGAGACCAGAGAGAGACCAGAGAGAGACCAGAGAGAGAGACCAGAGACCAGAGAGAGGCCAGAGAGAGACCAGAGAGAGACCAGAGAGAGACCAGAGAGAGACCAGAGAGAGAGACCAGAGAGAGACCAGAGAGAGACCAGAGAGAGACCAGAGAGAGACCAGAGAGAGACCAGAGAGAGACCAGAGAGAGAGACCAGAGAGAGACCAGAGAGAGACCAGAGAGAGACCAGAGAGAGACCAGAGAGAGAGACCAGAGAGAGACAGAGCTGCTTTGTCCGAGTCTCAGTGAAGCGGAGAGAACCAGGAAGTGTTTGGAGGTTTCCCAGGGCACTCATGGCCCCAGCCCAGACCCGGCAGACCCACATCCAGACCCACACGCCGCCCAGAGCCGGTGCTTAGTGGTTTGCCAGCCTTGTACGGCCCGGGACAGGAATAACAGCAAAGGGAAGGCGGCCATTACCAAACCAAACTCATGAGAGAATTATTACTACGGCCCCAGAATAACGTCTAAGTGGCGGTTGGGCAGAAACGGCAGAATAATCGGAATGGAAAGTTGCCGCGGTAACGAGAGACTGGGTTTATCCAAGTGCATGAAGACTGCAGGCAGAGTATATTACAAATACATGAGCAGAGAAAGTACTACAGAGGACCAGGAGGAGAGGACCAGGAGGAGAGGACCAGGAGGAGAGGACCAGGAGGAGAGGACCGAGAGGACCGAGGGGACCAGGAGGAGAGGACCAGGAGGAGAGGACCAGGAGGAGAGGACCAGGAGGAGAGGACCGAGAGGACCAGGAGGAGAGGACCAGGAGGAGAGGACCAGGAGGAGAGGACCAGGAGGAGAGGACCAGGAGGAGAGGACCGAGGGGACCAGGAGGAGAGGACCAGGAGGAGAGGACCAGGAGGAGAGGACCGAGGGGACCAGGAGGGAACCAGGAGGAGACAGACATGGGCTGATTCAAAATGGCCACAGGCAGCCCCTCCCTCAGGAAAAAGTGAAAAAACGCATTTGCGCATTTGTTAGCTGCATTAGCACCATTCATTTAATGAGTGCATTCTAAAGTCCACAGCGTCTCAACTAGACTGGTCCAAAAACATGTACTCCCCTCAGACAGCATCTAGAACCAAGAGGACCAAGAGCCACTTTTGGACCATCCTGTAAAGCCGTTTTCCAGAGGTAAGAAGACGCCATATAAATGCATTGGGTAATTCTGTTTCCGGGTACACCCCCACAGGCCTGCGGTGGTATTGCAAGTACGTGCACGTGCTCATGGACCTTTTGGAGCCGGGACTGGTCTGGACTTTTTGATTCTTTGATTTCAATGGTTTTGTAAAGTCCTCTGAGATAACGTCTGTTGTGATTTGTGGCGATAAAACAATAAAATGAATTGAATACGCAACAGTCTGATCCCGACGGAAGCAACAGCAGCAGCAGAAGGAGAACATCCATCAGACCCCCCCCCGTCACGAGGCTCTTCCATCCATCACCCCCCCTGCTGTGTCCTCACCCCCCCAGAACACCCGCAGGCCGTCACCCCCCCTGCTGTGTCCTCACCCCCCCAGAACACCCGCAGGCCGTCACCCCCCCTGCTGTGTCCTCACCCCCCCCAGAACACCCGCAGGCCGTCACCCCCCCTGCTGTGTCCTCACCCCCCCCAGAACACCCGCAGGCCGTCACCCCCCCCTGCTGTGTCCTCACCCCCCCCAGAACACTCGCAGGCCGTCACCCCCCCTGCTGTGTCCTCACCCCCCCCAGAACACCCGCAGGCCGTCACCCCCCCTGCTGTGTCCTCACCCCCCCCAGAACACCCGCAGGCCGTCACCCCCCCTGCTGTGTCCTCACCCCCCCCAGAACACCCGCAGGCCGTCACCCCCCCTGCTGTGTCCTCACCCCCCCCAGAACACCCGCAGGCCGTCACCCCCCCTGCTGTGTCCTCACCCCCCCCAGAACACCCGCAGGCCGTCACCCCCCCTGCTGTGTCCTGTCACCCCCCCCAGAACCCGCAGGCCGTCACCCCCCCTGCTGTGTCCTCACCCCCCCCAGAACACAGGCCGTCACCCCCCCTGCTGTGTCCTCACCCCCCCAGAACACCCGCAGGCCGTCACCCCCCCTGCTGTGTCCTCACCCCCCCCAGAACACCCGCAGGCCGTCACCCCCCAGTGTCCTCACCCCCCCGAACACCCGCAACCCCCCCTGCTGTGTCCTCACCCCCCCCAGAACACCCGCAGGCCGTCCTCACCCCCCCCACCCGCAGGCCGTAGCTGTGTCCTCACCCCCCCCAGAACACCCGCAGGCCGTCACCCCCCCTGCTGTGTCCTCACCCCCCCCAGAACACCCGCAGGTCCTCCGGTCCCGGACACACACTTTGCATAAAGACATCACACACACACGCTTTAATAAGACACACAACAACTGTGAAGGAGGGGCTGCTGTCAGACTGTACGACGAACACTGAGGACTAATGAACACGGCAGAGGATGTGGAATATGTACGGCACAACTTTATATGAGTTCATTTTATACTAGCTTCTTTATTATGCTAAAGCTAGAGATTTTATACTAGCTTCTTTATTATGCTAAAGCTAGAGATTTTATACTAGCTTCTTTATTATGCTAAAGCTAGAGATTTTATACTAGCTTCTTTATTATGCTAAAGCTAGATGTTATACTAGCTTCTTTATTATGCTAAAGCTAGATGTTATACTAGCTTCTTTATTATGCTAAAGCTAGATGTTATACTAGCTTCTTTATTATGCTAAAGCTAGAGATGTTATACTAGCTTCTTTATTATGCTAAAGCTAGATTTTATACTAGCTTCTTTATTATGCTAAAGCTAGAGATTTTAGACTAGCTTCTTTATTATGCTAACGCTAGAGATTTTAGACTAGCTTCTTTATTATGCTAAAGCTAGAGATTTTAGACTAGCTTCTTTATTATGCTAAAGTTAGAGATTTTAGACTAGCTTCTTTATTATGCTAAAGTTAGAGATTTTAGACTAGCTTCTTTATGATTTTAACGTTAGAGAAACCGTTCTGTTTCGCTAAAACGACTGAAGGATTTGTATGTGTATATATTGTTTGTATGTTTTGCAGCGTACGGTAAAGTCCTTAAAGGTCCCGTTGTTAGCCTCGGTCTCTAACATGTGACATCACTTTCATAATAATGTGGTTCTGACTGAGTCTCCTCGGTCCTGAAGCGATCAGCAGCTGAAGTATTGAGCCAGTGCTGACCCCGGGGCCAGAATCAATCACAGTCCAATCAGGTCTAGATCAGGTCTAGATCAGGTTTAGGTCCCAGTCCGGCCCCGCCCACTTCCTCAGGCCGCGGGCGATCGGGACAGTCCGGCCCCGCCCACTTCCTCAGGCCGCGGGCGATCGGGACAGTCCGGCCCCGCCCACTTCCTCAGGCCGCGGGCGATCGGGACAGTCCGGCCCCGCCCACTTCCTCAGGCCGCGGGCGATCGGGACAGTCCGGCCCCGCCCACTTCCTCAGGCCGCGGGCGATCGGGACAGTCCGGCCCCGCCCACTTCCTCAGGCCGCGGGCGATCGGGACAGTCCGGCCCCGCCCACTTCCTCAGGCCGCGGGCGATCGGGACAGTCCGGCCCCGCCCACTTCCTCAGGGCCGCGGGGGCGATCGGGACAGTCCGGCCCCGCCCACTTCCTCAGGCCGCGGGCGATCGGGACAGTCCGGCCCCGCCCACTTCCTCAGGCCGCGGGCGATCGGGACAGTCCGGCCCCGCCCACTTCCTCAGGCCGCGGGCGATCGGGACAGTCCGGCCCCGCCCACTTCCTCAGGCCCGATCGGACCGCCCGCCCACTTCCTCAGGCCGCGGGCGATCGGGACAGTCCGGCCCCGCCCACTTCCTCAGGCCGCGGGCGATCGGGACAGTCCGGCCCCGCCCACTTCCTCAGGCCACGGGCGATCGGGACAGTCCGGCCCCGCCCACTTCCTCAGGCCGCGGGCGATCGGGACAGTCCGGCCCCGCCCACTTCCTCAGGCCGCGGGCGATCGGGACAGTCCGGCCCCGCCCACTTCCTCAGGCCGCGGGCGATCGGGACAGTCCGGCCCCGCCCACTTCCTCAGGCCGCGGGCGATCGGGACAGTCCGGCCCCGCCCACTTCACTTGCATCAGTAATGAATGACAGTGTCAGGTCTGTCCAAATACATAATCATAGTACATCCGTTCAGTAAGAAGGTCCTGGGTTCAAATCCCAGTCGGAACAGGTCCTTTCTGAGTGGAGTTTGCATGTTCTCCTCGTGTCTGCGTAGGTTTCCTCCTGGTGCTCCGGGTTCCCCTACCACTAAAAACATACACAATAGGTCTGAATGTAAAGAGTGGATGGAGGGTGTTTGGTCGGAGGCTTTGATGGACCAGTGTCATCACCGTGTGCAGAGAATGGAACTGAATCTGAACTTTGACCTTGGTCTGTAAAATGTGCTATAAAGCAGTGAACCCCAGAGTCTGAGGCAGAGAAAGCGTCGCTCTCTGGAGTGTTGTACTGGTGTCAGAGGTTAGCACTTGTGCCTCACAGTGAGAGGGTCCTGAGTCTGGGACCGCTGGCTCCACGGCCCTGCTCCTGCTCCTGCTAACCTCAAGGGCCCCTCTTCAATGGCTCTGAAACGTTCAACTCAATTTATGGGAATGGACCAATTTTCGAAAGCGACCAGTGAGAGCCACTTGTCCCCTGGCTGCACCGGGGGGGGGGGGGGGGGGGGGGGGGGGGGGGGTCATCAGCATCTCTGGGGGAGGAGGGGGAGGGGGGGGGGTCAGGCTTCAGGAGCTGCTCTCAGCCAATTAGAGGCGAGTGACAGAGACTCGACAGGATCCTGACACAAGTGGAACAGAGCGGCTTCAGGGGCCACGGCTCCACTGCACCAGACCAGGGACCTACAGCCTCAGTCCTGGGTCTACAGCCTCAGTCCTGGGTCTACAGCCTCAGTCCTGGGTCTACAGCCTCAGTCCTGGGTCTACAGCCTCAGTCCTGGGTCTACAGCCTCAGTCTTGGGTCTACAGCCTCAGTCCTGGATCTACAGCCTCAGTCTTGGGTCTACAGCCTCAGTCCTGGATCTACAGCCTCAGTCCTGGGTCTACAGCCTCAGTCCTGGGTCTACAGCCTCAGTCTTGGGTCTACAGCCTCAGTCCTGGGTCTACAGCCTCAGTCCTGGGTCTACAGCCTCAGTCTTGGGTCTACAGCCTCAGTCCTGGGTCTACAGCCTCAGTCCTGGGTCTATAGCCTCAGTCCTGGATCTACAGCCTCAGTCCTGGATCTACAGCCTCAGTCCTGGGTCTACAGCCTCAGTCCTGGCTCTACAGCCTCAGTCCTGGGTCTACAGCCTCAGTCTTGGGTCTACAGCCTCAGTCCTGGATCTACAGCCTCAGTCTTGGGTCTACAGCCTCAGTCCTGGATCTACAGCCTCAGTCCTGGGTCTACAGCCTCAGTCCTGGGTCTATAGCCTCAGTCCTGGATCTACAGCCTCAGTCCTGGATCTACAGCCTCAGTCCTGGGTCTACAGCCTCAGTCCTGGATCTACAGCCTCAGTCCTGGGTCTACAGCCTCAGTCTTGGGTCTACAGCCTCAGTCCTGGATCTACAGCCTCAGTCTTGGGTCTACAGCCTCAGTCCTGGATCTACAGCCTCAGTCCTGGGTCTACAGTCTCAGTCCTGGGGTCTACAGTCTCAGTCCTGGGTCTACAGCCTCAGTCCTGGGTCTACAGCCTCAGTCTTGGGTCTACAGCCTCAGTCCTGGGTCTACAGTCTCAGTCCTGGATCTACAGCCTCAGTCCTGGGTCTAGAGCCTCAGTCCTGGGTCTACAGCCTCAGTCCTGGGTCTACAGTCTCAGTCCTGGGTCTACAGTCTCAGTCCTGGATCTACAGCCTCAGTCTTGGGTCTACAGCCTCAGTCCTGGATCTACAGCCTCAGTCCTGGGTCTACAGCCTCAGTCCTGGGTCAGCCTCAGTCTTGGGTCTACAGCCTCAGTCCTGGGTCTACAGCCTCAGTCTTGGGTCTACAGCCTCAGTCCTGGGTCTACAGCCTCAGTCTTGGGTCTACAGCCTCAGTCCTGGGTCTACAGCCTCAGTCCTGGATCTACAGCCTCAGTCCTGGGTCTACAGCCTCAGTCCTGGGTCTACAGCCTCAGTCTACAGTCTCATTTGCATGTTCTCCTTGTGTCTGTGGCCCAGAGCTCGTCTCCAGTCCATAAACGGCCTCAGTCCGGTGATTGAACGGTGGTCGATACTATTTGCGTAGGTCCCTGGTGTGTATTATTCATGACTGTGGCTCTCTCTGCTGTGGCCCCGGACCCCAGACCAGGGGGGGGCGCCGTCACGCTCGGGCGGCTCCATCGACACGCCATGTTATCTGAAGCGAGCGTGACGACAGCTGACCTCTGACCTTCTGTGTGAGCGCTGTCAAACTGTGCTTCTGCAGGAGACGGATCCTTTAGGTCCGAGAGAAATCTACAAAACTACATCATGTTTCTCCATTCGGCAAAAGTTTATATTACCCTGGTCTTACCGCACCATGGTACTCATTTCATTTGTACTAAGGTCTGGATTGTCTCCATTGGCTCCGTGAACAGGTGGGAGGGGCTCACTCCTTTTACAGATTGAAACCATTGGATATGAGTTTACTGTGACGTATTTTGACGTATTTGTGTCTGGCCCTAAATCACTGCAGTCGTCTCAAAGGACTTTACAAAGTTGTCAATTCCCCAAAAACAGATCAAAGAATCAAACCTTTTAACGTTCGCTGAAGAACAAAGTAATGTACGGTTTTCTAAGATGTAGGACACTCATAACACAAATCATAGGGACTCTGAGGAGCACAGGGACTGGCCTCCTGCTGGGACTCTGAGGAGCACAGGGACTGGCCTCCTGCTGGGACTCTGAGGAGCACAGGGACTGGCCTCCTGCTGGGACTCTGAGGAGCACAGGGACTGGCCTCCTGCTGGGACTCAGAGGAGCACAGGGACTGGCCTCCTGCTGGGACTCTGAGGAGCACAGGGACTGGCCTCCTGCTGGGACTCTGAGGAACACAGGGACTGGCCTCCTGCTGGGACTCTGAGGAACACAGGGACTGGCCTCCTGCTGGGACTCTGTGGAGCACAGGGACTGGACTCCTGCTGGGACTCTGAGGAACACAGGGACTGGCCTCCTGCTGGGACTCTGTGGAGCACAGGGACTGGACTCCTGCTGGGACTCAGAGGAGCACAGGGACTGGCTATGTGTTGTGCTATACAAATAACCTCTCCTTTCCAAAGCCGTGTCCTCAGTGAGACTCTGAACCTCCACAAGAGCCAGACCTGATGATTCTTAAAGAGACGGCGCAGACCCAGCAGGGGGCGGGACAAGACCGGTCCACACCTGTCAATCAAAGTCAGCATACGAGGCTGCTGCTGCTGCTCCCTCAAACACACAGCTGTATCAGGAGGGGCGGGGGGGGGCATGGGGGGGGCAGGGGGGGGGGGCTCTCAGGACTAAAGCTTCATAACTCTGGGGCTCACTGCTGGATCTGAAATGAATTTGAACTGAATTAAGGACATTAGTGCAGCACATGTGCAGGAGCAGAAGGATGGGACAGCGGGGGAGACAGGGGGGGGGGACTGAGGGGGGGGAGACCGAAGGGGGGGGGGGGGGGGGGGGGGGGGGGGGAGGGGAGGGTATAAATGTGAGAATATTTATGACAATCAACACCCTGGTTGGCATCTCTTAGTGATTTGGCCTCAACACCTCATGCACACACACACACACACACACACACAAACACGCGGACTAGAACCAGGAAGTACCATCACACATTAGTCCGGACTAGAACCAGGAAGTACCATCACATTAGTCCGGACTAGAACCAGGAAGTACCATCACATTAGTCCGGACTAGAACCAGGAAGTACCATCACATTAGTCCGGACTAGAACCAGGAAGTACCATCACATTAGTCCGGACTAGAACCAGGAAGTACCATCACATTAGTCCGGACTAGAACCAGGAAGTACCATCACATTAGTCCGGACTAGAACCAGGAAGTACCATCACATTAGTCCGGACTAGAACCAGGAAGTACCATCACATTAGTCCGGACTAGAACCAGGAAGTACCATCACATTAGTCCGGACTAGAACCAGGAAGTACCATCACATTAGTCCGGACTAGAACCAGGAAGTACCATCACATTAGTCCGGACTAGAACCAGGAAGTACCATCACATTAGTCCGGACTAGAACCAGGAAGTACCATCACATTAGTCCGGACTAGAACCAGGAAGTACCATCACATTAGTCCGGACTAGAACCAGGAAGTACCATCACATTAGTCCGGACTAGAACCAGGAAGTACCATCACATTAGTCCGGACTAGAACCAGGAAGTACCATCACATTAGTCCGGACTAGAACCAGGAAGTACCATCACATTAGTCCGGACTAGAACCAGGAAGTACCATCACATTAGTCCGGACTAGAACCAGGAAGTACCATCACATTAGTCCGGACTAGAACCAGGAAGTACCATCACATTAGTCCGGACTAGAACCAGGAAGTACCATCACTTTAGTCCGGACTAGAACCAGGAAGTACCATCACATTAGTCCGGACTAGAACCAGGAAGTACCATCACATTAGTCCGGACTAGAACCAGGAAGTACCATCACATTAGTCCGGACTAGAACCAGGAAGTACCATCACATTAGTCCGGACTAGAACCAGGAAGTACCATCACATTAGTCCGGACTAGAACCAGGAAGTACCATCACATTAGTCCGGACTAGAACCAGGAAGTACCATCACATTAGTCCGGACTAGAACCAGGAAGTACCATCACATTAGTCCGGACTAGAACCAGGAAGTACCATCACATTAGTCCGGACTAGAACCAGGAAGTACCATCACATTAGTCCGGACTAGAACCAGGAAGTACCATCACATTAGTCCGGACTAGAACCAGGAAGTACCATCACATTAGTCCGGACTAGAACCAGGAAGTACCATCACATTAGTCCGGACTAGAACCAGGAAGTACCATCACATTAGTCCGGACTAGAACCAGGAAGTACCATCACATTAGTCCGGACTAGAACCAGGAAGTACCATCACATTAGTCCGGACTAGAACCAGGAAGTACCATCACATTAGTCCGGACTAGAACCA